GAAGAAAGCCTGAAGGGAGGAGAATTTTAATTTAGCTTGAGAACTAAAGTGTCTAATGAAATAGGAGAAGCTGAGGGATGCATGTATGTCTGTGACAAGGCAGGCAGAAGGTAGGGCAGGGTGGCACCTTAGAGAGTAACTCTTTCAGAGAGGCATATGCATCTGACTAAGTAGGCAATCAGCTACAAAAGCTCATGTCTCTCTGAATGAAGTAGTCACTAAGGTGCGGCCTGCAGTGCCTTCTGCCTGACTTCAGACTGACACCACTAATTGCATGTCTCTGACAAGGCAGTAAGACAACAACCTAATTTTGTTGTTAATTCTGTGCCAGTACTGTGTATAAGGCTCAGCTGCTCCTTGGCAAATCAGCCCCTGCATGTTTAATAATTCACAGTGTACAAGTGTTGAGTGCTGTTCTGCTGTTTTTTTTTCCACAGCAATTTGGATTTGATGCCCTCCAGAAAAATGTTGTGAATGCTCGTCTCCAACAAATGAGAAAAAATTTGGCTCATCGGCAACGTCAAGTTGTGGTGGGTTGGGGGGTGCACGTGCACATGTGCTATGCTGATTCTGTGAGACATTTTCCCCAAAACCTTCTCATAATAGCACTTACCTGGCAGGGGAAATACCATACCACTAAGGTGGTTTTCCTAGTTGCAGGGGAAAGGCACTTTCTTCGCTGGGGGTAGTACCTTGACTGAGGTAATGCATAGATAGCCTCCCACTTTCACTTTCAGTGGAACGATCTTGGTTATACACCAACTTTATGGAAATGAGAGACTTCTCCCTAGTTTGCTTCTGTGGCTGTACGGCTGAGGGCAAGCGAAACTCAAGGGCATCTGTACCTCAAGCCTTTGGGCTTGGGCCTGCAAGTAGGATGCCTGCCAAAGGATTTGGAAGCATCTGAAGCCCCAGGCTGGGGTGGAGGATGTTGCCAGTAGTATGGTTCTTGAATGACTCATGGATTTGGAATTGATTTGGGTGATTTGATTTGGGACATGAAAAATTTTCCTTAAAAACAAACAAACAAACAAACAAAAAACCCTTTTCATAATAGCACCTACAAAATATTCTTCAGTCATTTGCATTGTTCCCTTGGTACAAACAGTTAAAAGTATATCTTATGTATGTCTAGGATCGGTGACAAATATATTGGTCTGGTTCTTTGTTTTTTATGGAGTCCCATCACAAACCTTTGTAACCTGGAGGAATTACAGTACATCTCTGTAATCCTGTGACAAGAACAAACTCATGTAAAACATGGCTATAGCAGTACCTATATATACCAACTTTTCTATAGCAAGGCTTTGGGTATTCATTTTGCGTGTTCAGAGTAACATGAAGAAACCAGAAATGTACTGAGTTCATGTGCTTGCTTTTGTTTTTTAAGCATTGCTTTGGAAACTCCTTGCAGAATGCTGGGGTTTTTTGTTTGTTTTGTTTTTTGGGTGGTTTTTTTTTTTTTTTTTTAAGGACATTTTATATACTCTATTCTATCACCTGCTTAATATGTGAGCATTTCTGTCTTTGCTCTTTTGCTCCAGCTGCTGCAGAGCTTCTGGAATTGCTGGAAATCTCGGCTAGAACAGGAAGAGGAAAAGCAGCTATGGTCTCTGACCCTTGCAGCTCACAGGCACTACAGGTCTGTAGAAATATTTGCATCTCCATGTACCGAAGGAGCTGTAACTCCACCAACTCTTGATTTCTGGTTTTAGATCTAGTAACACTTCCATGATTGGGATCCTTCCACTAGACATGGTTTGCCTTTTTATAAAGAGTCCTGGAGTGAGTACACATATCTGAAGAAACCTGTATTTGCCCCCCTCTATCCTAGCAGAGCTTGCTGAGCCCCTGAACTCAACTTGGTGACACTTCTCCATCCATATGATGGTGGCTTTGAAAGCCATGTGTAACTGTTTTCAAAATTTAAGGGAATTTTTTTTGGCTTTGGTGATCAGAACCATTTTTGTTGTTGTTTTGTTTTTCACCTTCCCTCTCTTTGTAGAGGAGGGGAAGGGCAATTGGAAAACTCAACGCAGGGGGAGGGCAATGGGGAGACAGGAGAGTCCATGATGGTTTGTTTAGCATTGTCCTGCATTCTAGGTCTGTAGCTGTCTATAGATCAAGCACTTAATCATGCCTTCCAACATGACTGCACCATCTCATCTCTTTCCACCCTCCCAGTAGTTTGATATGCAGACTTCCTGAATGATATAATGAGAGAAGAATGTGGAGGAGGAGGGATGGAGAAATGTGGATACATAGCATGGGTTGGGCATACAGACCCAGGGGGGATATAGATCTGAGGAAGAGGGTACACACAGCTACTTTGATGGGGAGAACATGGGAACGGGGGTGACAGAGCCCTGATTTTTGGGAAGAAAATGGGAGACGCTCTGTTGGATGAAGCTGTGAAGAAGAGGCATAGGCGTAGAGCCCCTGTTGTGAGAGGAAAGGAAGGGATAGAGGCTTATTAGGGAAAGGGGTTCTACAGAGCTTTTGGTATGGGAAGGTGAAGAAGGAATGGACACACACACTCTGTGTGTGTGTGTGTGTGTGTGTGTGTGTGTCTCTATCTGGCATGGAGGAAAGGATGAAGGAGAGCATAGGCTCAGACATGAAGGGAGGTGGGGTAGGTGGAGTTGCAGAGAGTACATACAATAGAGGGGACTGGAATGTGACACAGGTTTAGTGGGGATGATTAGAAGGATACAGGTATCCTGTAGTGGGTGCAGTGACCTTGGCCTAAACAAGCTGTGAAGCATGCAATCCTCTGCTAGATTAACATGCAACACCCACCTTTGTTGCCTCACTTTTGGTGGGGCAAGAGGAGACAGCGTATGGCATGCCTGTAGAGCCTTCTGAATTAAGCAATACAGTAGTGTCCTTAATGAGAGCAGCTAGCTGTTCAGGATGCTTAGTTAGATGGAGCTGTCCTTGGTCCTGAGCTGTTACCTGAGGTAAAGGATGGATGTTTGCCAGAGGGCTGACTTTTTATTATGTTTTATTTCAGAATAATTTTGCTACGCAAATCTCTCAGGCTATGGCTAGAGAATGCCAGGTGGAGAAGACACAGGCAGGTATGTGATACCTAGTATGCTTAAGTAGCTCTCACTGTCCATGGACTCCATAGCTGTTGTTCTTTTGCAGCATGTTTGCTAGTGATGCTGAGCTGTGCCCAGAATTCACATACTTTGAAGCCTTTCTCTAATGCAGAAAATACTCCAGTATTTGCTTCCAGATATGAGTGATTCTGACTTTGCTTGATAGCATTTAAATGGAGAATTAGTTCCAACGGTTGCTTCAGATTCTCTGTTCAAGTTTTATTGTAGAGCTTAGAAGGGAAGTTGCTGTCCCCTGTGTTGATGATAAAGCAGCACAGATTGGTTAGCCCATTTCTCTGGAGGAAAGAAGAAAATGAATATGAGACCAGCTGTAACTTCCCAAATTCATCAGTTTTAGGAAATAAAAACAAAGCTAGGCTTTGAGAGGGAAGAGTGGGTTTAGATCTTACATTCAAATTAGAAGAGATTATTCACTGCTATCTTCTCTCCCTCACTGAGTGACTGGCCATTAAATACTGGCTCTTTCCTTTTTCATTTCTTCTCCTCAGATTCAAATGTGTAATCTGACAACTATTTCCAGAACCCAGATGTATGTGATTGAATTAAATGAACCCCCAAGAGATTCAGACCTACTAAACATTTGGATTAGATCACAGGTTCTCAACCTGTTTTAGACTCTAGGTACCCCTCCATAACTCTTTAGAATTTAACAGCACTTCATTAAAAAAAAATTAATTTGTTTATTACAGGGCTCACCTCTTTGCATAGGGGCCAGGCAGGGATGAGTGATCACTTGCCTCCTTGCACTCTGATACACCCTTAAAAAGATCTCATGGCACTCTAATTGAGAGTTGCTGAATTAGATAAACAAGGATGCCACATGTACCAGGCAGTGAGCTAAAGCTGTGTTCCGATTTGGAGGTAGTTGCTGCCTCCCTCTTGGAAAGAAGAGTTGCATAAAGATCAGAAACAAACCCTCAGAACTCAAAACCCGTAACTCTTATACATGACCTAAGGCTGTCTGTTTCGGGTTGCTTTATTGCACAAGTCCCTCAGGTGGGAAGGACTTGAAAGGCTCAGAAATGAAATCAAGCTTGTTGCTTACTTTTAGATCCAGCGTGCTAAAGCTGATAATCACTATGGGAAGATGATCTTGCCTGTCACCTTGCAGGTTTGGAAACAATTTAAGAATCATCAACAAAAGTGGAGAGAGATGAAGGAAACAGCATTGTGCTTTCACAGGTACATTGGATTGTTCTTATGGATTTTCTCTAAATAGAGGTTGCTTGTTTTGTATGGGGCTGTGGCAGCTTTGGTCAGATGTAAGGAAGAAACTTAGTGTTTGGTATTTCACTTTCTCTGTCTAGTGAAAAAGAGATTGCTTCCTGGGAATTATTCTTTAAGGGTTACTTTTGTATATTTGCACTTGTTGCAAACAGTTTGCCTGTCTTGACATCAGGGGGCACCCTAACCCACAAGTCAGAATGCCTAAAGACCAGCAAATAAATAATGTTAGAATGGGAAAGTGTGTTGTTGCTGGAAAGATCTGGCACGAGACAGTCTGTTAGATTCAGCACGAGACTGCCTGAAAAACCCTACAGGCTTCAGTTTGTCTCTGATGCAGACTTGAATCTTCTGTGCATCAAAATCTGAACCAAAATAACCACATTGGTTGTGGTTCACAACTTCATCTGTCTGCATTTCATGTGTGGACCTTCTGCATTGGTTTTGAGTTGGCTTTGGGTAAGTACAGATGTTCAGTTTCTATTGGGAGAATTGCTAGGAAACCGTTTTTTTCCGCCACTTCTTGAGTCAGAAGGAAAATATTTTTCTTCCCCATTGGAAAGAAATTGGGGCTCTGGGCCTGGTGGGCTTTTCTTTTCAACTTTACAAAATAGAAATGGTTGTGTACTGTTTTTTTTTTCTTAGGCTAATTATTTTTACTATCAAAAACCACACTTAACAAGTTAAAAACAAGCCACAGACCGCCTCTGCAGTGTCTCTGAAGTTACCTTGCATTGTAGGAGACTGGCAGATGAATTTGGAGGGAAGAGTTGAGTAATGAGGGCAGCTGCATCTCTGAAAGTAGTTAAAGGAATGGTATCTGCTGATGTGGGAATGTAGCTGTGAACCATTGTCTCAGATTTGTTGGAATTTGTTGGATGGGGAGTGGACTTGATGCTGCCCCCCCCCGCTTTTTTTTTTTTTAATTCAAGAGGCTGAAACTTGAGGTGAGGAAGGAGAAAATTGGCTCTAGCATGAATCTGCTAATGTGATGCTTGTGCCTCCCCAGCCAGAAAAGGGATTTGATAGATGAGAAGAATGTACAGATATAGCAACCATTCAGCACTTGTCTCTTGACCTTGTTGAGTTTCTTCTATTAGACTAATGTTGTCAGATGTTGTGGGTGCAGTCCTCTATTTACAAAGAAGGTACACAAAGTCCGGAACTCAGTAGGAACAAACATGCTTTTTGGCTTCCACCCAGGGCTACCCTCACTGTTATATGTATGTCTTGTTTCCATGTTTGATCTTAGTCTTGCCATGCAAAGGTTTACCAATCAAAGGTCCAGCTGCTGCATTTACTGCCTGTTCCAGGGGATTTGTGTCTCTTTCTCGAGTTAATTCTTGCTTAGACTTCCCACAAAGTTCAGTTTCTGTTAGCATGGTGTCTTCTTATATCAGCTTTTCTTGCCCCCCTTTAGACACAGACACACACACACACATTTTTGGCCTGAGTGAAAAAGGACATGAATGCCCATGAGCTCCAAGGTTTCTGATTGCCCAGGGATCAGACATGCATGCTGGTAGCTAGCAACACCCTTCAGCACAACTCTTCTAACTTCCATGCCTTCTCAACCTATTAACTGGTATTCATGTCCCTGAAAATCTTCCCTAGCAGCCCTTCTCCTGACAAACTGCACTAGTACCTGAGTCCTCTCCTGGGCCTCTGTGCTAGGGAACTGCTGGGATTTGCTGGCAGGTTAGTAGTAGATCTATCTTAAGGTGTTTCAGAAATAGTCTCTCTTGTGCTTGGAACACTTCCTATTGGGCTGCAGCCTAAGCTTCTAGGCTGATAGACTTTCACTGCACTTTTACAAGGGGTGTGCATGTGTAAGTTTATATATAGTAAATAGTAACAACATCTCTCCTGACCCAGAATGTTAGTTTGTCATTTGTCACTCTATACATGCTCAGTGATGTGTGATGTGAATGGAAATTGGAATGGTCTTCTGAATAATCTGGCTGGAAGCATCTGTCAAGGGACATGTGAACATTTATTTGTCATCTAATAGCATGGGAGGGATTCAAAGGAGCTGTCCATCTGGTTACATAACATACTTGGGCAGGGAGTTTGTAGGGTAGTGGGGCTACATAACTGACTTACGGAGGACCCTTGCCTTGAAATATCAGGTCAGATAACTGCGTAATAAATAGACTGACGTAACCATGGTTCAAATCCCATTGGAGTCCATAGTCATCCTTATAGCTGGCTGAAAGATTAGCTTGTTCTACTGATACTATTCCTTCTTGCTTGCAGGGAGGTCTGGACTAGACGGACATTTGACATGTGGTGGCTAAGGACACATCAGCAGCAAGAGGATCGAACAGCAGAGAGAACGGTGAATACAGTACTTTCCCTTAGTTAACCCAAGGGGATGGATGGGATAGTTCCCTAAACAGCTGCTGGTATGCAGGCTACACAAGATGTGCTTGCACTGATTGTTGTTGTCCCTCAAGTGGAAATGAACCACATAGGACTGTTTTCCTGTGCCTGTTTCCTCTGACTGAGGAAGCTTGTCCTGCTGGTTATAACTGGTTTGTGTCATGAGGTTACCAACTTTCTCCTCTCAACTGCAGGCTGTTCTTCACTTTGAGTGGCAGCTGTTGGTTCGTTTCTGGTGTTCCTGGCGCAGGAGAACAGAAGCATGCTTAGAGGAGCAAGAGGGCCTGGCTCAGGCTCATGATCATTACTACCATCTGCTCCTACTAAAGACTTTTAATCTCTGGAAGAAGGTGGTTCAGGCAATCAGAACAGAGTAAGTGGCAGCCCAGAACGGGTAGTGATCCCAGTCCACTTCTACAGCTGGCCCCTTTTATGAAGGCATGTCTGATTCACAGCTTGCCACCCCTTTTGTGTGCTTGAGAAACTGCTTGCATGTCTTTGTTTCCTGAATATGCAGGAGTGTTTTCCTCGCATGCTGGCAAATATGGGTTTGGGTTTCATGCTAGAGGAGCTCAATGGGTCTGGATCGAAGTTGCGCAGTAAGAAAACTCTTTTCTTCAGGAGAATCAAGGAGGTGAAAGCCTTAAGATTCCATTATTCAAAGTGTCTGCAGTGGTCTTGGAGCCAGTGGAGAGAGGTGAGAATCTTGGCAAAAGGAGAAAGGTTTGAATCCTCTACCATCTCTTAGTTGCTTGTAATCATTATTTGGCTGCTTAAAAATATTTACAATAACAAAAGCATTGTGTATTTTGAAATAAAGCTCTTTAATCTTGCTCTTACCTAACCAAAGTCTGTCCTTTTTCTAAGAAGGGGTAAATCAGTGCAATGTGGGAGGAGTAGAAATTGCCTTTAGAGGATTGAGGAAGATTTCAGTTTTGTTCTGCACTGGCTCTCCTGCCCAGGGTAAAGTGTGTAGGAAGAGGACAGGAGTGTAGCTAAGTGTGGGTTGCCTTAGAATAAATAGTGGTTACAGAGGTTTCTGTGGAGACCTTTCTCACCATTACACCATCTCCTTCCCCAACATCACTGAAGTGAAGGGCTGTAATCTTTGAGGCAGTGCTTGATTTTTATTTTTTTTTTAATTTTCTTCTCAGGAACGTTTCTTCTAAATTCCCCTTTTGGGCAGAAGGCAGTTAAACAGTGCAAGTCATGTAGTGGTTGGTGTATGCTGCAGCCTTCAGACATCCTTCTGGTTTTGACAGACTTTCCCTATTTGCTTTTTCAGACTACCTAATGCCAGTGCAGACAATTCATAGGGACCTGTGCCGCACCCATGTATGGGGGCGCAGAGCTCTTGCCTCCGTCCTGCTAGGGAAGTATGTTCTGTCAGCAGGGAAGTAGAAGCCCAGGCAATATGCTGTGGATAAGATGCTGTTGGCTACATTAGCTTGGCACAGTGTTGTGGGTTTTTTTGAGCACTCAGAGAAGAGGAAGCTAACAGCAGGGTCCATTGCTGGTTGGGAGTACTTGTTTTTGGGTTACATTACTCCCTTGAGGTTTGGAATGCTTATCTTCTTGCTCTCTCTCTCTGCCCCTGCCCTGATCTCTTTCTCCCTGTGCCATCTTTGCTTGTAGTATATGGAGCATAAGGGTGAGAAATGGAGGAAGCTGATGCGAGCAGACATGCATTATCAGCACTCACTGCTGCACAGGGTCTTGAGAGCCTGGAAGGTAGGAGACCTCTTTCATTACAGGGTCTTCTGTGTCTGAGCACACCTTCACTCTCAAGGTCAGAGCTGCCCAAGTGGTAGGGGAGGATGAGGCAAAGTTCTCCTACACGGAGTGGAGAGTTTCCACTCAGCTTTATTGATAGCTGTGGCGTGAAAGGGCCCAAGTTGTCTCCTTAGTTGTAAGACTGAGATAAGCAGTAGATTCCTAAGAGTCACTGGTGGGTGATGGCTGCTGTGAATCAGGAGGAGTGGGGTAGGCTTGGGTGGTTCCAGCTCCTCCATTTGCTTCTGCACCTTACAGCTCCTGAGGGCTCCCCAAAGGACTTCTCTCCTTCGTGTTGTTAACTGCTTGGGGAGGTCTCATCTTATGGATTTCTTACAGAGTTACCAGTGTAACATACGGCACATTTTACACCAGATTGCTGAAAAGACAGAGGACCGGAACAGAGAGCTCTTGCGGTAAGGCTGCTTATCCACGTGCAGTACTGGAGAAGGGTGACCTGTGTATTCAGACTACGCTGGGCTTCTCTGGCACCTTTACTAATTCTGAAATACTTGGTGCCAGTTCATCACTGCATCAGTGCTCCTCTGCATCTCAATAAGAACAATAACAATAAAAATGGCAGAACTTCCTCTGGACTTGCCTGCCAGGCAGTAGGTTCCTGTCTCAAAGCTGTGGCAATCCTTTTCTGGAAGTGACTGCTGGGCCCATAGCTCTGATCAAATAGTCATCAGTTTCTGAAAGACATTAACCCGGTAACAGAAAAGGCAGGTAACTGAGCAAGTAAGGACTTCAGTTGCTCTCCATTAACTGTACCAGTTTTAGTTTTTGTGCTACCTGATGGCTTTATTTTGTTGAACTCTTTCAGTACCAGACTGCCTGATTCATTTGATGTCCAGCAACAGATAGTTTCATTCATTAGAAATGAAGAGTGCTTTCTGCTGTTACATACTCTTCTTTCTAACATAGACCCAAAGGGACCCTGTTAGGGTGGATATGGTGAAAAAACATTTTTTGGTTCCCTTATAAGAGTGGAAAGGGTGCCATGGTCAAACTGGCATGGAAGGGCAGGGACCCTTTCTGATTTGTTTCTATTTACCATTTTGCAGGTGGGTGTTAAGTATCTGGAGAGGAAATACTATTGTCATTATGGGTGAAGCTAAGGCAGCTGTTCAGGCAGAACAGCACTACAGGAGAACAACTCTCGCAAAGGTGGGACCATGGAGGCAACTTGGGTCAGTTTAGCTGGGAAGTGAAACCAGTCCAAGCAGGGATTAAGTCTAGATATAGTACAGTAGTATTAAGCACAGGGAAGTGGACAGCTTCCCATAAAAAGGATGCAGGGATTTTAGGTTAGAACCTCCTATCTCAAGAGAGGTCCCTACCAGCTTTTGCTGAGGGGAGAGGAAAGGAGTGAGGAGAGTGGGCAATTTTCCTTACCCTCTTTCTTAGAAGGGGAAGTAGATAGTTGCGTAGAAAAACATGGCAGATCTGCCAGAAGCAGGAAGATGCAGGCAGTCCTTGGATTTACGACACAATTGGTTCCTGAAAACGGTGTCTCAAGTCGAAACATTGTAACTCAGAACCGATTTTTCCCATAGGAAACAATGTTATAAATGCAGGATTGGTTCCTGAACCCAATACCCTGTTTTCACCAAAAATAACCCAGAATTTTGTACTTAATCAATTATAGCTGAGTAATATAGCTACATTAATGTATTTATATTGTAAATAGCAATCATATTGATTTGGAAGGACTTCTTTGAGGTGACTGCTGGACTTTTTGAAGGGCTCTTGGTTGGACTTTCTGAAGGGTTCTTGGCTGGATTCTTCTCAGGAGTCTTGGCTGCAGGTTTTTCTGGAGTCTTGTCTGCTTTCTTAAAGAAACCGTCCAAGGAAGTTTGGACAGATGTTCTCCAGGGAGATGGGTGACACAGCGACTTGTTTGCTGGCATGGTGTCACATCAGATCAAGTGTTATAAAGTTGAACAGTTTCATAGTTTTGACGTCCAAAAGGTTTCATAGTTTGTAGGGTCGGAACGGACCTTGACAGATCATCAGGTCCGATCCCCTGCCATGGCAGGAAAGAGCACTGGGGGCAAACAACCCCAGCAAGGTGTTCATCCAGCCTCCTC